TTTGACAAAGAAGAAAAAAATATAAAATGAAAAAAAGAAAGCCTATTCAACAAACGGTGCTGGCAAAGCTGCATCTCAGCATGTAGAAAAATGAAAATAGATCCATATCTATCACCATGTACAAAACTCAAGTCCAAATAAATCAAAGACCTCAACATAAAACCAACCACAATGAATGTCATAGTGGGAAGTACACTTGAATGCATTAGCACAGGAGACCATTTCCTAAATAGAACCCCAGTAGCACAGACACTGACAGAAACAATTAATAAATGGGACCTCCTGAAACTGAAAAGCTTCTGTAAAGGACATGGTCAACAAGACAAACTGGCAGCCTACTAAATGGGAAAAAAAACTTCACCAATCCTACATCAGAGGGTTAATCTCCAAAATATACAAAGAACTCAAGAAATTGGTAATCAAAAGAACAAATAATCCAATAAAAAAATGGGGTACAGACCTAAACAGAGACCTCTCAAAAGAAGAATCTAAAATGGCTGAAAGACACTTAAGGAAATGCTCAACATCCTTAGCCATCAGAGAAATGCAAATCAAAACAGATCTGAGATTTCCATCTTACACCTATAAGAATGGCCAAGATCAAAAACACTGATGACAGCTTATGCTGGAGAGGTTGTGGGGAAAAGGGAACACTTCTGCTTTGCTGGTGGGAGTGCAAACTGGTACAATCCCTCTGGATGTCAGTATGGTGATTTATCAGAAAATTAGGAAACAACCTTCCTCAAGACCCAGCAATACCACTTTTGGGTATATATCCAAAGGATGCTCAATCATGCCACAAGGACATGTCCTCAACTATGTTCATAGCAGCATTGTTTGTTATAGCCAGAACCTGGAAACAACCTAAATGCCCCTCAACAGAAGAATGGATAAGGAAAATGTGGTACATTTATACAATGGAATACTATACAACAGAAAAAAAATAATGACATTTTGGAATTTGTGAGCAAATGGATGGAACTAGTAACTATCATATTGAGTGAGGTAACCCAGATCCAGAAGGACAAATATCATACATACTCACTTGTAAACAGCTTTTAGACATTAAAAAAAAAGCCTATAATTCACAATCCCAGAGAACCTAGAAAACAAAGAGGACCCTAAGACATACTTAGATCTAATCTTCATGGAAAGGATAAAAATGAAGACAGAGAGTAAAAATAAATCCTACACTAGCTCAGAATTGAGTGTAATAAAAGGTTATTTATTTAGGGGTAGAATCACAGATCACAATCCTCTGCTGGAATGGGGAACAGCAACTGAATACCGCAGCCAGAAAAGAGGCTGGACGCAAGGTTTACATGAGCATATATAGTATACGAGGCCACGGCCAAGTGGGTGGGTAACTTAAAGGCTACTGGCAGTAGGAATCCTACAGCAGAAAAAGACAAGATCTCCTGAATAAATTGGGAGCATGGGAACCATGGGAAAGGGTAGAAGGGGAGGGGAGAAGAAGGGAGGTTATCAAAGAAAAATATATAGTTCAAGAAAAACAATTTTTAAAAAAGAAATAATTAATAGGGGCTGGAGAGATGGCTCAGAGGTTATGAATACTGACTGCTCTTCCAGGGGATCCGGGTTTAATTCCCAGCACCCACATGGAAGCTCACAACTGTCTCTAACTCTTGTTCCAGAGGATCTGGCACCTTTACACAGACATACATGTAGGCAAAACACCAATGCACATAAAACATAAAATAAAAAAGAAATAATCTTAAATGGAAGGCATATAAATAACTGAAAACTATGTTCCCCCAAGGCATCTAACAACGTTGCAGAGAGAAGCACTGTGGGAAGTGGCACTGCTAGGGCTGCAGCGTGCACACTCAGGAGCACACTGCTGTCACAGGGGACCCGGCTTCAGTTCCCAGCGTGCACACTCAGGAGCACACTGCTGTCACAGGGGACCCGGCTTCAGTTCCCAGCGTGCACACTCAGGAGCACACTGCTGTCACAGGGGACCCGGCTTCAGTTCCCAGCGTGCACACTCAGGAGCACACTGCTGTCACAGGGGACCCGGCTTCAGTTCCCAATATCCAGTGGCAATTTACAGCTCTATAGAACTCCAGGCAGCACTGCCAGCCTCAGTAAGGAGAGTTCAGTCTGTGGTTTTCAGATATCAGTTTCCCCCTTCCCACCCTATGTTATGGCTGCTGAAAACTCTGTATTCCGTGCAAATGTTGTTCCGACCAGACAAGAGCACCTCCAGACTTCCCTGTTAAACCGTTAGGAGTACAAATTATGAGCAAGGAATAAATGTGCGCAAGTGTGAGTAAATGTGTAGGCTTTACTACCGAGACTTGGGAATCTTAGGAATCCCATCATACCCTAGCATCCTAGGCTAGCACTCCCTAAAACCCGATCCCACCCAGCAGTACTCTCCATGAGCAACACTATGTTCTCCACTGCTCAGTCCAAACCTCTGGAATCAGTCTGGACCCTCATTTTCCCTTGAGTCACATGTACACATCAGCACATCATATGCCATCAAAACACAGCAGAATCCAAACACCTTTTCCTGTCTTTACCATCTTGCATGTCACACTGATAGAAGTGAAAGGCAAGACACAAGACTGGGGACAATGTTGACAGTGATATAGAGTTGAAGAGCTCTATATCAAAACACATAAATTTCTCAATGCTTATAGGAAAGCAAACCATTCAATTCTAAAAAATGAGCCAAAGATTTAAAAAGCACTTTGGCCAAGAAGACATTTAGACAGAGGGTGAATAAGCACAATTAAGATACTGAACACTATTAGTCACTAGGATATGCAAATTTAATTAAAACCATAATGAGAAAACATTATGGATATATAAGAATGTTAAAAATTTAAAGCTAACAAGATTGAGTGATGACCAGGTTGCAGAACATTTGCATGTAAAACAATACAACTACTTTGGAAATTTCTATCAACAGTTAAACCTCCATTTTGATATAGAAAGAGTTTTGTGCAGTGTTAGAAACTATCCACTTCAGAAACTATGAACAGGATATAAACTATATAAAGATGACACTTTTTGATCCAAAGGCAATAAAAAAATCAAAGGACCCAACTATTCCACTAATATATTAAATAGCAGTGCATGTCCGGTTAAAAAGTGTGCATGAGGCCAGGCTGTGGTGGCACACACCTTTAATCCCAGCACTCGGAAGGCAAGTCTGCAGTCACTACTGTTGGAAAGGCAAAGGCAGAAGGATCACTTGAGCCCGTGGGCTCAAGGCCAGGCTGGGCAACATAGCAAGACCCCATCTCCAAAGAACAAAAGGTAAAGTGAGTGTACCCCCCAGAATTTACTCACTGGAAACTTAACCTCTGACACAGCGTCTCTCGATCTGTGGGTTGTGAGCGACCCCTTTGGGGTTAATCGGCCCTTTCACAGGGGTTGTCGAAGACCACCCTCCATATCAGATATTTATATTACAATCCACAACAGAAGAAAAACGACAGTGACGAAGTAGCAATGAAAATATTTTATGGTTGGAGGGTCATGAAAACACGCAGAACCATATTAAAGGAAAGGTTGAGAACCACTTCTCTAACACTGGGTGCTGCATCCTAAGGAGAGGTGCAGGGGAGATTCGCCCTCAAGAATAAATTAATTCTAAATAAAAAGGGGCTTAAGGCTATGAGGTCCTTCTACTGCTCTCTTCCCCCTTCACCCAGGCGATGGATGGTACACCAAGGAAGAGCTCAGCAAATGCAGGTCTCCACCCCGGAATTCCCTACCCCCCGGCTGAAAACAAGAGATCTCTGCTCTTCACAATTACCAACTTCAGGACTCTGAGAGTGGCACAGAGTGGACACAGGAGGCGAGGGGATGCTCATAACTGCAGTCTAGCTGTTCCTCTTAAGGAAACTGCATTCAAAAAAGTGAGATACACAATATCTTAGAGCGAATTAACTCAGGCTCTAAATTAGATATACCAAACTGAGTGGCAAATAAAATGCTCAAGTGAGCATTCCTACTTCATTCCATTCCTGCTCCAAGATGCTAAACAGTGCTAGAAAAAATATGCAACCATGATGCCTGTCTTCACTTTAAATGATGGTTTCACAGACATAGGGAGAGGATAGACAGACAAATGGCAAGTAAATGATACATAGATGAATAAATAGATAATAGCTAGATAATAAATATTGATTCAAAAATGATAAGTAGGTAGATAGGTAAATGATACAAGGATCATATCATAAATTAGATAGTAGATATTAATGAATAATTTATAGATAGGTGATAAATAGTGTATAATTGGGCACATCAATGACAGACTGATGACAGATATGATCGATAGATATCATCTAGATGATAGATATGTGTAGAGTTTATCACATGTAGTAAGATTAACATAGCTATTTTTTAAAAGAATGCAGCAGACATTCCGTTAGGTGTTTTTTAGAAGCAGTAAGTGGATGGAAACTATAGGATGTGCTAAGGAAGCAGAACCCTAGGGATGAATGGGAAACACTATTCCAGCTCCCCAAGATGACTTTTTTCACATAAAAATGGAGGGCGAAAGGAAGGTCCTTTAGGATAACTTTTCGGGGCCTTTCAACTGAGGAAGGAGCTTCTGAACAGCTGTAAGTGAACTCTTGCACAGTTGGGGAATTTCTTTGAACTCATCCTAGAAATGTGGTCTTATTTCTTATTTGATATCATCTATATTTATAAACATACTTAACCCAATAATTCAATTTATCTTTTTTTTAGGAAGTGGCCACAGCCTTGAGTCAGTGAGTTTGGACTCTGCCCTTCATCAGCTTCCCACTGAGCTAGGAAGGTCACCATCTCCATTTCACTCCTCTCTCTTGCGTTCATTAGAAACTCTAGTTCCACACATCACCAGTTTCAGCCTCGGTGCATGCAAACAGCCATGTTGTTCATAAGCAGCTCACAGAAGTTCTCTACAATGATTGAGCCACACAGAAGCACAGCGCACACTTGTGTTTAGATAAGGTTATATCCCCATGACTCACCTCATTTCCACCAACTGCCTTGGTTAAAATCACAGCGGAAGACACAGGGGGAGGCATGCAACCTACTGTCTGCAAACTGAAAAATAAAAGAAAATCCAGTTGTAAATAGTTCCTTATTTCCAGTTATAAATCAAAGATAACAGCGTTCGTCGGTATACTCTCCGTGTTGAGCTGAGACACTACGGGACAACATGGATCAGAAGATACGGCAAATGTGTGGGCCCTGAGAGCTCCTGACATTATACAGGCTTACATGGTTTTATTTTTTAACTTATTTAAACTTTGAAGGGCTGGGGTTTAGTTCAGCTGGCAGAGTGCTTGTTTAACATGCACAGTGCCCTGGTGTCATCCTTTGCACACATCAAATACAGTAGGTCTATGATCCATCCCAGCACTGCGCGCGCGCGCGCACACACACACACACATACACACACACACACAACTTTGATTACGGAGTTCAAAAAACAAGCAGGCTATAGTGAGATCACTGAACGATAATTAAAATAGATACTAAAATCTTGGGTTATTGCCATAGATCTCTCCCCGTGGAACTAGTACAACAGTACACACCTGTGTTCACAGCTCAGCGGAAGGTGGGGCAGAAGGAACACAAGCTCAAAGACAATATAGGCAACACAAAGAACCTCTGTCCCAAAAGAAAATCTTCCTTGTATTTTTATAGACGATCTTTTGGTAACAAATGAAGCCTAAAGATGACATCTAATGCTCAAAAATATTTGATAAAACAGAAGTTTTAATTTTACAATTCTCAACTTTCATCATATAAACAACATTCTCATGTTGTAAAGTCATGTTGGAGGCAGTAATACTATCTCACACTTCTTGAGTTCAGACCCAGAGTGACTTCCCATAGCTACTTCATATGTTTTTATTAAATAAGGCTCATATGTCCATGGTCATGACAGTGAGCCTATCCTCTCAGTTAGTGTAGAGAATAAGCTGTGTGCCAGGAAAGCCAAACTACGGGCAGTAAATCTAAGGACTAAACTGAAGACCATTCTGCAGTATTTGAACAGAACATGGTCTCACCAGAAGGAAAGTTCATCAAGGACACAGCACACAAACACTGTCAGGAGAAGCCAGCCTGGGCAACAAATTGAGGCCTGTCACTCAAATAAAGTAAGAACAAGGATCTGGGAAGATTTGTTTTGGTTGTTTGTTTGGTTAGTGGGCTGGTTTTCTGAGACCTGACCTGGCTTGAACTCACCATGTAACCGAGGATAGCCTGAGCCTGGAATTCCCACTCTTCCTGCTGTAGCCTCCCTAGTGCTGTGCCAGCAGAACATATCCAGCTGATATTAACCCTTATTACTAATGATAACCCTGAGAAATACAACAGCGCTTCAGAAGAAGGTTCCGTCCGTCACTGCTGAGTGGTTCTAACCCGACTCTGCTACCCACATTTCCCTACCATGATTCTGAGGTAGAGCCTGTTTTCCTTCCAACTAACTCAACTACCTCAACTACCTCAACTAACTCAACTACCATGATTCTGAGGTAGAGCCTGTCCTCCTTCCAACTAACTCAACTACCTCAACTACCTCAACTAACTCAACTACCATGATTCTGAGGTAGAGCCTGTCCTCCTTCCAACTAACTCAACTAACTCAACTACCATGATTCTGAGGTAGAGCCTGTCCTCCTTCCAACTAACTCAACTGACTAGTTTCTACTGTCACCTTAACAAAACCTTGGAAAAAGGAACCTCAATCAAGGGAATGTCTGAATATGGTTGGCCAATAACATGGTCTGTGAGGCATTTTCTTGATTACTACATGATATAGGCGAACCTAACACTCTGTGGGCAGCACCACAAGTGGGCCTGGGTTGTTTAAGAAAGGTAAGGCACAGAGAGCAAGCCAGCAAGCAATACAAGCAATGTTCTTCCATGGTCCCTGCTTCAGTGCCTGCCTCCAGGCTCCTGCCTTGAGCTCCCGCTTTCATTTCCCACAGTAAAGGACTCTTACCTGATGTATATGAAATGAACCCTTCCAAAGATGCTACTGGTCACAGAGCTTGTCCCAGCAACCGAAGAGCAACCCAGAACATAAACGTGCTAGGGAGGCCACGGGAGACCAAAAGGAGCTGAGAAGAGATTACTCTAGATGAGGGACAGCAAGTGTGGGTCCCTTTTACATTCTGGCGGGAGTCGCACGACCTAATTTTACCTTGTCACAGATGACAGGTGCTACTCTCCTCATAAAAACATCAGGTGCCATCAGAACGCTCTTTCTGAGGACCACCTCTGAGAACCCGAGTCTCTCAGCTTCACACTTTTGTAAGCGGTCTCTTATCTACAACCTCAAGCCCCAGATTCTTCAGCCCGGTACTAAAAGACTCTGCTGGGATGACCCTAAAGAAATCTTATATCTCTCACTAATGCCTCATTTTGTAGCCCGCTACTCTAGGCAGACACAAACCTTGTTGAGCACCATTCTTCGTGTGTCTGTGTGTGTGTGTGTATCCCACACATATAGCATATATATGTTGCATGTATTCAATTGGATTGGGAGTTCCCCGAAGAAAAATAAAAACATCTTCCTACTCGTTGCATGCCCCACACACAGCGGATGCTCAGTATTTCCTGACTCGTAGTACACAGAATTACATCACTGCTCTGAAAAGAAGTCGTCTTATTTATGTGGCATTTTACCTCCCCTCGTGAGAGGCAGTGCTCCTTCTCTGAAGTGCAGTATGGTGAAAAGTGCACTCCTGACCTCCCTTCCTACTTCTAGGCCACGGGTGTCCCCAAGTTGCCATTCACGCGGTGGCTCAACCCTGAAGCCTCAATCTCCTGGTGACGGCCACAGCCTCCCCAGAGGTCACAGAAACTCGAAGTTCCAATCAGTCCCACCACACTCATCTCTCCATCGCGCTTCCACATTCCACTAGCCTCCACACTTGTTCCCCTGGCTTCGTCTCAAGCCCCCTACTATCCACATCACGACCAAGAATCCCATGCAAGCAGGCCTCGCATCCCTCACTGCACCCCATGAAGCAGCTTCCTGCAGCTTCCAGATAAGTCCTCAACACAGTGCTCTCCAAATACGGCCGCCCTCTGCCACATGACCAGGACATGCCCACTGGCCTGCTTTGCTGAACCTGTCTACAAACTCCCTGGGCTTGTTTCCGCCTCAGTGCCTTTGTACATTGCTTCCTTTCCCAAGAATATTCTCTCCAAGAACTCTGGGAAGAATGAGAGTTCCTCAAAAGCCTGGTCACCCAATCCCACTGCACACCTTTCCTCTGACGTCACTCGTTTTCATTGTGTCCATCCTGCTGCCTGTTGATGTCTACTCTGAGTATCTCTCACCTCTGGGCAATTCACCAGCACATGACCACTTTTGTCTGCTATACTTTCTCTAACTTCAAAAATAATCCCCAGCACACAGCAGGGCTAAATGGATAACAAAGAAATCATGCCATGAATGGAAAGATTTGATACAGTCAACGTCATTATTAAGGATGTGGTTAAGGTGTGACTGTCCTCAATTTATACAGAGAAAAGCAGATTTAAACTATGAGATAACTTTACTGAAAGTCGTAGAGTGTCAGGGGTAGGCTCAGAGGACAACCTCTATAACATGATGCTCAAGTGAGGTTAATTTTAAACTATTCTAATTAATTTTTCAATTGTTCAGTTCTTTCCATTAAACATGGTAACATTTGTCATGAAAGAAACGATTCTAATGAATCTACTGCTAAATTAACTAAAACAACAACAGAGTAAATGAAAAATTAAACATCTGTGGCACACATATCCTTTTATTGTATGATTTAAAAATGGGCACTGCACTCAGCCACGGTAGTCCATGCTTGGAAAGATACAGATGGCCAAGGTAAGGCCCAGCGGACAGCCTACATTCCCATGCAGACTGATCTGGAGGCCTCCAGTGTCTTCCGCTGTTCACTCTGTGAAGCAGCGGGGTGCATGTGTTTGTGCAGGCCCAGAGAGCATAGGAGAGCAGCAGCTACAATACTCTCAATCTCCATGTTCTTCCCTTGAGACTGGAACTAAACTGGTGGCCAGCAAGCCTATAAAACCTCCTGTCTCCAAAGCCCTGGGGTTCTAGGCATGCTCAGGTCCTCAAGCGTGCACTCCTCAACACTGAGCCAGCCCCCTAGGTCCTCTCCTACTGGTTTTATACACTCAGAAAGTCTACATTCTGGAACCTTAAAATAGGCACAGGGATCTACTTTAAGATTCTGTTAAACAATTCCTTACTGAACCTCTGATGAAACGCTATTGTTTTAACAGCTAGTATTTATTTTTTCTAATTTATTTATTTTTATGAGCACTGGTATTTTGCCTGAAGGTATGTCTGTGTGAGGGTGTCAAATTTTGAAGTTACAGAAAGCTGTCAGCTGCCATGTGGGTGCTAGGAATTGAACCCAAGTCCTCTGGAAGAGCAGCCAGTGATTTCAACCCCTGAGCCATCTCCCCCAGACAGAATTTAAAAAGTGGTCTCCTTTCCTTATAACCACACAAGTCCTTTTGTTTGCAGTTGCCATGGAAACAATAATGTTACTAGAGCTGCCCCATTAAAAGAATACCCATCAAAAGGTTTAAACATACCCTTTTAAAAGCCATTCATTGATGGGCGTGACTGATAGAAGCTGAAGAAAGAGCCATATTGTTGCTGGGAAGAAGGCTAGTGTGAAGGTCTGGATGAAAAGATGCAGCTTCAAATGCACCAGCGCACTGGTCAGCTCCTGCAGAGAGAAGGACATAGGGTAAGAAAAGAAATTCCACAGAGAGAGCTCTAGTAAAGCAACGTCACAGGCCTTAGCTTCCAATGCTGAATTGTTTCAAATCTTAGATCTTTACATGTATAAGAAAGGGGCTGTGAGAGAGGAAGAATAATGATAATTATAAAATAGCTTCATATAAAATCTCTGAGCTATCTAATTTCCTGTGAATACATAATATGCTCTAAGAATTCAGATCTGTACATTTCTGAACAAGAGTAAAAGCAAACCAGCATTGGAGTGGTAGAAATTCAAGGACTGTTGATGATATAAATAAAACACATGTTTACCTACATTAAACAATTACCTTAAACTGGGCAGTGGTGGCATATACCTTTAATTCCAGTACTCTGGAGGCAGAGGCAAGCAGATCTCTAAGTTCAAGGCCAGCCTGGTCCACAGAATGAGTTCCAGGATAGCCAGGGATACACAGAAAAATCCTGTCTTGAAAAACAAAACAAAACAAAAATATCTTTAAAATGTTCATAAGACTTATCACACTTTAGTCAAATATACTAATCTCTATTCATTGTATGAAATTTACCAGGCTTTGATTTGGGAAGATGTCACCAAATCTACAAATAATAATTTCTAAACCATATTCGCTTAGATAACAGTTTATAATTCCAAGGAATTCCGTCCCCTACTGACCACTCACTGCAGTTCCTATTGTTAACAGCTTTCTGTGAAATAGCCATATGCCTGGAGCTAGGATAACCTAAGTACTCTGCTATCTCATTATTAGGACAGTATAATGGCCAGGAGGATAGTAACACCTGGCTGCACTGCTGAGACCACCTACACGGTGAGGACCTGATCAAGTCCACTCCTGGCACACTACCAACCAAATCCAGGTCTGTTCCTACCATGGTATCACAAGCTGCCCCAGGAGGGATAAGAAATGCACGCTCAAGATTGGGCACTTTCAGAATGGAGCAGCCATAGACAGAAAGGCATGTCAGGTTGGAGGTATAACTCAGTTGGAGAAGTGCTTGCCTAGCATGCATAAGCACTAAGTTTGATTCCCAGAACCACATAAACCAGGTACAATGGCACACACCTGTAATTCTAATACTTGAGAAGCTGAGGAAGAAAAATCGTTAAGTTCTCTTGAAGACCAGGCTGGCCTTGAATTCACAGAGATCTGCCTGCCTCTGCCTCCCAAGAGCTAGGATTAAAGGCATGTGCCACCACCGCCTGGCTAGATGATAAATTCAAAGCCATCCTCAGCTACTTAGTGAATTTGAGATTAACCTGAGCTATATGAAACCCTGTCATAGAACAAAACAAAACAAAACTACATATTAAACATGTTATGAATTGCACAGCCAGAAAACACAGAATAGTTAGCGCTGCGATACAAATAGGTGGTGGCGCACGCCTTTAATCCCAGCACTCGGGAGGCAGAGGCAGGCGGATCTCTGGGAGTTCGAGGCCAGCCTGGTCTACAAGAGCTAGTTCCATGACAGGCTCCAATGCTTCATAGAAACCCTGTCTCGAAAAACAAATATAGATAGATAGATAGATAGATAGACAGACAGACAGACATATAGCTATTTACTAACATATGCATCTATATTTACTTTATATGGTTATTCTGCTGAAACCCAACACATTTAGGAAACAGTAGGATCAGATGTGGTGGCACACACTTTTAATCCCTTAGAGGGAATTAAATACTTAGAAAGCAGAAACAGGACAATCTCTGTGAGTTTGAAGCCACCCTGATCGACATAGTGAGTTCCAGACTAGCCTCAAAAAATAAACAAGGGCCAGAGAGATGGCTCAGCAGTTAAGTGCACTGGCTGTTCTTCCCAAGGACCTGAGTTCAATTCCCAGCAACCACATGGTGGCTTACAACCATCCATAATGAGATCTGGTGCCCTCGTCTGCCCTGCAGGTATACATGCAGACAGAACACTGCATACATAAGAAGTAAATAAATAAATAAATAAATAAATCTTTAAAAAATAAATAAACAAACAAATGAATAAAAAGAAAAAATGGTAGCCGGGCGATGGTGGCGCACACCTTTAATCCCAGCACTTGGGAGGCAGAGGCAGGCGGATCTCTGTGAGTTCGAGACCAGCCTGGTCTACAGAGCGAGTTCCAGGACAGGCTCCAAAGCCACAGAGAAACCCTGTCTCAAAAAACCAAAAAAAAAAAAAAGAAAGAAAAAATGGTAGAAAGTCATACACTTTTTAAAAGTCAGACAACAAAATTAAACAAACAATAAAAAAAAAATAAGCAAGGGCCAGGAAGACAGCTCACCAGGTAAAGACATTTGCTGTACATGCCTGGGGTTCTGGATCATGGTGGACAGACAGAATCAACTTCCAAAGCTGTCCTGACTTCCAAGCACACACACATGCACCCCCCAACATACATCAGGAATCACCCGTAAGACAAAGGGTTGCAAGCAGTCACACACTCACCAGTTTTAATGTGCACATTTCAAAATGTGCAACAGACCCTCAGCCTCAGAGGCACAGCTACCTGGTCATCTGTAACAGCAGGCTAGCGCAGACTCATCCGCTCTCCCGTTAGCGCCCACCTCTGCCTCCCCATGAGGAGTCGCACCAATTCCTCTTTAGTCCAAGATGTCTTTGAAAGTATGGAATGTTCTGATAATCTGGGACCATCAGTCCCACTATTACCACACTAGGTCCTTTGATGGACCCAAAAGAAAACAACACTTGTAAAGTGAATTAGAATCTTCAAAGTTACATCATTAAGAAATCTGACACCAGCCATGCATGGTGGCACACACCTTTAATCCCAGCACTTGTGGGGCAGAAGCAGGTGGATCTTTGTGAGTTCGAGGCCAGCCTGCTCTACAAGAACTAATTCCAGGATACACCAAAGCTACAGAGAAACCCTGTTTTCAAATAAAAAAAAAAAAAAACAACACTATAAATCAAAGCTGAGTAGGACAAACTAAAATGCTTTCAAATAAACTCAAGTCAATAATTTACTATCTCCAGTGAACAAAAATGCACTATTCTAGGACCAAATAAGATAGAACATAATAATCATAAAAATCATAGATCCAGTTAAAATTAATTTAGGATTATTAAGTAAAAAATAAATTACAAAACTGTTACTTCCCACTGACCCTGGCCCTGAAGCAGCAGCCTTAGAGACGGCCTAGCGTTATTCCCAATGCAATCTAAGTTAAATGGCTTCTGAAAATGACTGTTGTACTGGTTTGAAAAGGGTCTTTGATGGAGGGAATGGCTTTGATGGCCACTCATATACCACAATAAAATACAGGATCAAAGCAATCCATCATTACATCCAAATTAGCCGGGTAACTCTGAAGGCTTCCTAGGTGCTGACAGGAGTTGGTCCTTAGAGAAATGCTGATAGCTGTGACATTCTTCCTTCATCAACTCTTGCAACCCACGAAGTTGGCTGCTTTACAGAATAACATTAAATAAGAAGCTGAGGAGTAAGAGACATGAAGTCTCTTGCCAGATATCCCATGGCATAAATAACAGCTGTCGCCATTAAACAGACACCAGGGGACGCAGTTAGAGCCATGTCCCGAGCAGAGGACGGGGGTGAGGCAGCTGCTCCACAAAGCATAGCCAAGGCCAGCAGGAAGACCTCAAGTCACATCCGACCTGCACCTCATCATGGCAAACACCATTCTGCATCACGTGCCCACATTTAGAACCAACTGTAGAACCCGGGTGCTCAAAGAAAAAGCCTACTCCCTCTAACAATGGTTACCTCGAGTCAATAACATTTCTAGCGGGCCTACAGTTAGCAGAACAGGAAAACAATCCTGCTTCGGTCATTTCCAGGAAGGCAATCCATCAATGAGGGTATTTAGAATTGCTGGGATGTAATTCATCAGTTATAAACACTACACACTAACACTGCATATATCAAAAATACCCCAATGAGATTTATAACAGCCTAATAACTACTGAATGAAAAAATTAACAAAATCGGTCCTCCATGTTGTTAACAGGGGGACCTAAGAAGGAGGTAACAGACTTTAGTCTGTCTGAGTTTGCTTTCTATTGCTGTGATAAACACTGTGAGCAAGGCAACATGGGAAGGAAAAGGTTACTTCATCCTATGCGTCCATGTTACAGGTCATCATGAGGGAATTTAGGGAAAGCTTAACCAGGAACCGGGAGCAGGAACTGAGCAGAGACCAGTGCTGCTTACTGGCGTGCTCCCCAACGCTTGCTCGGCCTGCTTTCTTACATCATCCATGCAGAGGTGGCACCACCCACAGTGGGTGGGCCTTCCCACATTAATCACTAATCAAGAAAATGCCACCTCCCCCCAGACTTGCCAACAAGCAGCACAATGGAAACACTAAAATATGTTCCCTCTTCCCAGGTGACTCCTAGTTCTGTGTCAAGTCGACAAAAAGTCGCCAGCACAATCATCACTCAGATCACATCAAAATCCTACCATATGACCTAGCTATGATCCTGCGCACATACCCAGAAGATCCATATCCTACCATAGAAATACTTGCAAATCTCTATCCTAGATATATTTATATATCCTAGCTGCTCTACTGACAATAGCTAAAAAATGGAATATACCTACAGAGCAGAACACATGTGATGTGAAAGAAGGGGGTTACCGGGGATGATGGCTTAAAGCAGGGGTAGAAGTGGGGAAATGGAAGCAAAGGGCAGTATGGGGGCTGGGAAGATGGTTCAGCAGTTAGAACGGTGGCTATTCTTCTAGAGGACCCAGGTTCAGTTCCCAGCACCATATGTTGGCTCACAACCATCTGTAACTCAAGTCTCAGGGGACCCAACAACCTCCTTAAGCCTCCATGGGCAATGCACACACCATGGTGTACAGATATAGATGAATACAAAATACCCATACACATAAAATAAAAATAAATAAATCTGTACAAATAAATTTTTAAAATGTTTGAAAAGATATGCCCTTTATGGGTGGACCATGCTTCCCCTAGTAGACATGGGTTATTACAGGAAAATCTCAAGGCCAGGTATGAGATATCTCCCTACAAGTTTTTGGTCAACAAAACCCCAGAGGTCATCAAACAACACAAGTTGTTGCCACTGTTCTTGGCTACCCACAATAACTCAGGGCCACACCCTATTGCTGAAGACACTCTGTACTTTGGGTATGCATACAGACAGATCAAGACTGAACTGAACTGAAAACTTCTTTGTTAGCTAGTTTTCGCAGCGTCAAAAGGAGCTATGCAGGCTCCTGGAGGGTAAAAGCCATGGCATCTCTGCACTGGACCCTGGGTAGCCTGCCTCTCCAGGATGTGCTGCCAGCAGTGTAACGATGACACGATGCCTAGGAAGGGAATCCAGTACTTAGACCTGGATTTAATAAGGTCTGTTCCGTAGGAAGGAATTCTTGCCTGACACTGTAACCCTAGTCAAAAGCCCATGGCTAGCAGGTCATGGGCCTCATGGGGGAGGGGATGGGCAGAGGGGGCATCTATTATTGTTTTGCTAAACAGGCGTGTTGTCAGACTTCCTTCTAAATCTTTATACTGATAGGTATAGATTCATGCTGCTCTCAAGCTTGGTCAGAAGCTCCTTTCTACAGCAGACATCCGTTAATGCAAACACCCATGACTATTCAACATAAGAATAAGTAACAGTGGAGTGGGGGTCCTAAACGAGACACTAGCTCCATCTCAGAGGTTATCACAACAGAGGGGACAGAAAGACTCTAAGGGCCGCCTAGATGTGACATGCCAGTCACATTCATGAACTCAGAGTAGCTGTGCCTAGCTGCATGAGACCTGCACAAAGTCAATTAGGTCAGTCACTCCTGGTGTAGGAGGTCCTTCTGTATTTGTGTTGCTTTCATTGGTTGAATAAAGAAACTGCCTTGGCCTTTTGATAGGGCAGCAGCTTAGGTAGACGGGAAGACAGAACATAATGCTGGGAGGAAGAAGGGCAGAGTCAAGACGCCATGGTTCTCCTGCCCAATATAGACGCTGGTTAGACTCATGCCAGTAAGCCACAGTCAAGTGGCGATACACATTAATGAAAATGGGTTAAATCAAGAGGTGAGAGTTAGCCAAGTAGAGGCTAGAAACAATGGGCCAGGCAGTAATTTAATTAATACAATTTCTGTGTGGTATTTCGGGGGTTAAGCTAGCCGGGCGGCGGGATGCGGCCTGCTCCTTTTACTACAAACTCCAACATGGATGGGTTAAAGAGATGGCTCGTGGTTGCTATCCCAGAAGACCCAGTTGTGAGCATGGCAGTATTGTATACAGCACAAGTTCCAGGGAATCTGACCTCCTCAAGCACCTCCATGCATGGGGTACACTGACATACACAAACAAAATGCCCATATGCATAAAATAAAAATAAATAAATCTTTAAAAAGTGCTAGGATTAAAGGCATGTGCCACCTCTGCCCAGCTTAAAGACACTTCCAGTAAAAAAGAGAGACTCAGACTGTGGTAACACACATTTTAATCCCAGCACTCAGGAATGAGAGGCAAGTGTGGAGCCCTGAGTTCAAGGCTAGCCTGGTCTACAGAGACAACCAAGTCTATACGGAGAAACCATGTCTCAAAAGAACAAAAGGAAAAACAAAACAAAAACGCTGAAACCCACATTAGAATATGATTCTCCCATCTATAAGAATAAAATGTTGGGCGGGAGAGATGGCTCAGAGGTTAAGAGAACTGACTGCTGTTCTGGAGGTCCTCAGTTCAATTCCCAGCAACCACATGATGACACACACCCATCTATAATGAAATCTGGTGCCCAGAACACTATATACATAATAAATAAATTTTTAAAAAATAAGATGTTATAATATTTATTTCTGGCACATTTATGTGTGTGCTGTGCATGTATATACACAAATGTTTACATGCATGGAGATGCACCTTTTATGTATGTGGGTGTACATGTAGGCTCTTCCAGCTGGAGGCCTGGGGTTGATGTGTCTTTCTCAAACACTCAGTTTGTTTACTGAGGGGCAAGGTGTCTCCATGAAGCCAGAACCCCCCTTTGGCTGGTTTAGCTAGCCATCTTACCAGGGGGTGCCACGCCCACCTCCTGCAGTGAGATTACAGCTGGTTCTGGGATCACATGCTCAGTCCTCACACTTGCTCCGCGTTTACTCACCAAGCCATCTCCCAGCCTCTAGAAATTAACACCTTTAGAACTTTATGATGTTCTGAGAAACCACCCAGTATTTCCTCTTTTCTTCCTGCAGTTTAGGTATAAAGAAAGCCACATATCTTCCTTACTCCGCTCTCACACGTGACAGTCTCTGTATCTTTACTTCTGGGACAATCTATTTCCGTGCAGACTGGATCAGTGACGACCATCGCCCATAGGCATGACAGATTGAGACTTCTCAGTAACAATCTAAAACGACTCTCAGAATGCTAGAATGTGCTCCTTTAAAAAGTAGTTCAGAGATGGCATAGCAAACATGACTAGATCACATAAGGCCCAGGACCAAGAGATAACACCCGAGAGTTGTAGAAACCGAACTCCCTAAAGAGCCTCCATATACCTCAGTAGAGCAGGTGCACAGTCTTCTCCATGATGTAAGAAAGACAATAAAGCAGGTACTACAGTCCATTACCACACTAATAAACCTAATTTTTAAAAGAAAAATTATTTCTTTGTTTTGGTTCTTGTTTTGTGTAGCTCAAGTTAACCTCAAACTCATGGCAATCCCCTGACCCCAGCACCCTGAATACCAGATGTTTGAATGGCAGTGGCCCCATAGGGTCATATTTGAATGCTTGGTCCCCAAGTGGTGGAACTGTTTGGGAAAGAGAAGGGTGTGGCTTTGCTGGAGAAGTGGTTCCCTGAGGGTGGGCTTTGATGTTTCTAAAGCCCACAAAATGCCCAGTTAGCTCTCCTGCCTCCTGACCGCTGTCTCAATATGCAAGCTCCCAGCTACTGCTCCAGCACGCCTGTCTGTCTGCTGCCCTGCTCCCACCATGATAATGGACTCAGCCTATGAAACCGCAAGCAAACCCCCAATTAAATGCTTTCTGTTAGGAGTTGCCTTGGTCACAGTGTCTCTTCACAGTAACAGAACAGTGATTAAGACAGCAGAACCAGAGGCATGTGCCACTACACCTGGCTTAAAAATACATTTTTAATTACTGGTATTACCACATCTTTCTTCTGTAGCAAGTGAGCTACAGTATTACAGTCTTACTTTCTGCTTCCTTGATTACATCTCTTCATAAGGATATTTTTCAAACTAATGTCTTCATTAAAAGAATGGTCATCAAGCCAGGCGGTGGCACATGCCTTTAACCCCAGTCCTTGGGAGGCAGGGCCAGGCAGAATTCTAGGAGTTTGAATCCAGCTTAGTGGTAGCCAGAGCTGTTACACAGAGAAACCTTGTCTCAAACACTAAAAAAAAAAAAATTCATCCATGAATTCGAAGCCAGCCTGGTCTACAAAGTGAGTTCCAGGACAGCCAGGGCTGTTACAAAGAAATCCTTTCTCAAGGGAAAAAAAAAAAAAATTAAATAAATACAACAAAAAACTCCATGTAATCCCACGTCTAGGACCTGAGTGCTCAACTCTGAAGGCCCCATACAGTAAGCTAGTCCCGCTGCTGTCCAAGTCACTCTGTCACAGTGAAGCCTCCGACAGCAAACAGCTTCACAAAGGCCCGAGACTTCAGCACTCAGGGCAAGTTAACGTCTCTGCACTTCTCTCCATGTGCCCACAAGGTGACAATACCTCTGTTTTTAACGACAGTCCACTGTTAAAGAAGATCGTAGCGACAGCAATGTAGGACACAGTTATCTCTGGCTTCAGTGGTCCTACAAAGAGAGCAATGAGTCACTGTTAGAAGAGCATGCGCAGCAAATCAGTTGGTTTGAAAGAAGACTACTTTCAGCACCAGTGTTGGACCTGTTCTGCTGGAAGCTTCACCTCAGCCGCTGGCATTCATATACCACAGTCTGGGATGTTTGGGGGAAGCTCCACCCCAAGCCCCGACCCCATCTCGCTCCATACCCTGCTGTATCTCAGAAACTCCACCAAATGATGACCCCTCCTCTAGAGATTCTCAAGACTACTCCCACAAGGTACTTAAACTGCCTCCCAGGAAACAGACATGTGGTTTGCCTGTCTTCCTTTCCTGTCTCCTCTCTGGTGCTGGAAAATCATCCAGAAGTGTTTCATCCATTAAACCTGGGCTTTTTCTAATTCAGTTTGATTTGGTCTGATTTGGATTGTTACATCGGTAAAGAGGCTCATCGGGGTACAGAAACTTTTCCCATTTTCCCCACATGAGGCGTCTCCAGTGATATTATCATGTCTAAAATGTCAACAGTGCCCAGGTGGAGAAGCTGGCGCATATACCATTTGGTTCCCCTGTACTTGTGTTCCTAAAAGGCATATCTACACTGTTTCTATATCAATGTATCTGTGAGTGGGACCATATTTGGAAATAGGACTATACTAGAGGAAGTTAAGTTTAGATGAGGGTGAAGTGAGTAGTTATCCAACAACTACCTATGTTTACCTGTCTGCTTGTGTGCTTGCAGTACCGGGATGAACTCCGGGTCCCGCACATGCCAGGCAAGCACTGGCAGGCAGCCCCAGTGACTGGCATTCTGAGAGGCATGTTTGTGTGTAGACACACAGTAAAGACAGGGCAATGGTTGGAGTTACGATACCACACGTCAAGGAAGCCAAAAGTCCTTGTGAACACTAGCTAAAAGAAGCAAGAACGAGGATTCCCCTCAGAGCCTTTGGATGTCTGGCCTAGAGAAATGAGAAAATAAATTTCTGTCATTCTGATGTATTTCTTAGACAATTTGCTGCCAGACTGGGTTTGCTTCAAGTCAAATTGCATGATCACAATGATAGAGTCTCCATAATCCTCTACCATATCTACTGATATTTTGGGGACATAGGTGGATGATCAAACTGAAAGAAATCACTATTCAAGTTTTTCAACAAACACTTGTTAAGATATATCTTAGATATTTGTAGGACAGCTTAAAATAAAAGAAACGAAAATTCCCTCAAACAATGTAATAAACTATTTCATATCCTGGCATTAAAACAAAGCCTTCAGCTGAGAAAGGAAAAGCAGAGCACAAGGGGGCAAGCAGGAAAGCCCTCCACCGCTGCACAAACATTTAAACTAGACTGCTCCCAAAAACCTTAACTATCTGAATTTTTAACTCAAGCTTTTTTTACTCCCCACCCCCACTCCCTCACTTTTTGTCAGTCCAGAGTGGCGCCTCCAGAATTTCTTGAGAGGAAGGGTCAGAGAGAATCAACGAGATGGTTACATGCAAAAACTAAAGCCAGGTCCAAAGACATTTGTATACAGGTAACATGTGGCGTTCAATTCAGTGGACTAGTCCTGAACTTTCAATGTTCCAAATTCCAGAGACAAGCCACACAGACTTTTGTTATACTAGACACACATCTAAATAACTGTATCAAGAAATGGAGTGGGGGGGCTGGAGAGATGGCTCAGTGGTTAAGAGCATTGCCTGCTCTTCCAAAGGTCCTGAGTTCAATTCCCGGCAACCACATGGTGGCTCACAACCATCTGGAATGAGGTCTGATGCCCTCTTCTGGCCTGCAGACATACACACAGACAGAATATTGTATACATAATAAATAAATAAATAAATATTTAAAAAAAAAAAAAAAAAAAAAAAAGAAATGGAGTGGGGCTATTCCAGGGCTACTTACAACACACCTGTCAGGGAGAAGGGGGATTAGGGAGACCCAAGGCTCCTGCCTCTGCCTCCAGAGAGCTGGGATTAAAGGCGTGCACCACCACCACCCAGCTCATTCTTGAAACACACAACTGTAAGGCTAACAGGTGGTCCCAATTAGGGAACTCTGCAGGACGAGAGGTCACCCAGGACAGAAATGAAAACTCAACAAATCCTTAAACAGAGGAATGAGCTGAAACTAGGATATAAATTTTGTCCCTTTTCCATGCTCAATTAGTTGGAGTTTTCCCCTGCTTTTACACAGTTCAAATAATATTAGTCACCAAAAATGGAAGGAACTCACACAATCAAAAGAAAAATGGGCTACTAAGAAAATGAAGCCACTTTGAGTTAGAAAATCCAATCTTTTTATTTTGTTGTTGCTATTTGTCTTCTGAAACAAGGTCTTTCTAAAGAGCCCAGGCTGTCCTGGAACTCACTCTCTAGACCAGGCTGGCCTTGGCCTCCCTAACAATGGAATTAACAGGGTGCACCACCCTGCTTGCCTCTTCCAGTCTTTCTTTTTTCTTTTTCTTTTTTTTTTTTTTTTTTTTTTTTTTTGGTTTTTCGAGACAGGGTTTCTCTATGGCTTTGGTGCCCATCCTGAAACTAGCTCTTGTAGACCAAGCTGGTCTCCAACTCCCAGAGATCCTCTTGCCTCTGCCTCGCGAGTGCTGGGATTAAAGGCGTGCGCCACCACAGCCCGGCTTCTTCCAGTCTTTTAAGGAAAGAAAAAAGAAACTCTTTGTAAAGGTGACATTCCACAGAAGCCATTCCTCATCTATGGTGATCTCGGCCCAAGTATCATCTAAAATATCCTAAGATTTCAAGGTTTGGGCATATGCTTTCAGTCCTAGAAGATGAAAGAAGGGTCTCTGTGAGAAGGCCAACCTAGACTGTGTGTGTAGCTAGCTAATGCTAGGTCAGCCAGGGCTACACTGTGAGATGTCTCAAAAAAGAACGAATTAATTAAAATAAAAAATATTCTTAATATTTGTAGATAATATACTTCAACATATTTGGTTTTCTTTTTTTTTTTTAATTTGTTCTTGTTTTTGTTTTTGCTGTCCTGGTACTCACTCTAGACCAGGCTGTCCTTGAAATCACACAGATCCACCAACCTCTGGCTTTTCTGTTTTTCTAATGGAAAAACAAATGCCCCCCACCCCAGGATTTACATCTCGCGAATAACTGAAGGCATAGGTAGGAAGGACAGTTTCCCTGTGTAATTCCACAGAAGCACACCTAGCTTTAGACAAAATGAGGACCACAGAGCTAAACCCCATGAGCTCATATCTCTCTGGGTGCTGTTGGGCACACTAGCAGTGCCCCGGACCTACATAATCATGCCTCCAACAGGTTCTTATTTTCAACCTTGTTCTGGCTTTTTTGGGGGATGGGGTAGGGATTGGGGGGTAGTTTTGAAGGTTTCTCTGTAGCTCTGGCTGCCCTGGAACTCACTTTGTAGACCAGGCTGGCCTTGAACTCACAGAGATCCACCCAAGCACTGGGATTAAAGGCGTGTACCACCACGCCCAGTTACTTCTATATTTTTAAGGAACTGTAACTAATTTAAAAAGCAAGAACTAAAAGGGGCAGCGAAAGGGGGAGGAGGTTATGTAGCTCAGGATATAATGAGTCTCAGCACAAAGTTGGCTCAACACACAGCACCAGTAAAATAAAACAAACAAAATGACCAAAAGAACCTGTCTCAAAAAACAAAAAAGAAAAGAAAGATTATGAGAAATTTTCCATGACACATCTGCCCTTGCTCTTTAATTCTTGTTGGTGAGGGCACAGCCAAAGCGTTGCTTGATGCTATTTTTGTTTTTTTTATTAAACAGGCTTTATAGGTAGGACCATCATCTGAAATGGTCACAAAAAATAAAGCTCTCAACCTAACAACCACACAGAAAAGCCCGATTGTTTGGTTCTTTTTTTTTTTTTTTTTTTTAATTTTTCGAGACAGGGTTTCTCTGTAGCTTTGGAGCCTGTCCTGGCACTCTTGTAGACCAGGCTGGCCTCGAACTCACAGAGATCCGCCTGCCTCTGCCTCCCGAGTGCTGGGATTAAAGGCGTGCGCCACCACCGCCCGGCTCTTGTTTGGCTCTTCTTAAGTAGTTTTTACACAGAAAAGTCCTAGAAGAAACACATGGTGTCTAATATTTAGCTGATTCTGTCCTGTTGGCCTGGACTAAAATAACCATAAAAATGTCTTTATTCTACAAGGCCTTCTCTTTACAGTGATAGTCTTTCTCTTTCCCAAAACCATTATTATAGATTTTTGCCATTGTTATGACAAAAGAGGAAGCCCAGTCTCCATCCTCCTAAGCTCTGACATGTTACCTGGCTGGCGTTGGGGGACACACATACACAGACACACACACAACACAGACCTGAGGATGTGGTTCAGGGTGTACAGCATGAGTTTAACGAGTGTGCGCCAAGGTCCTGGGTTCACTTCCCAATATGCCAATCAAAAAATAACGTGGCATGATGATTTAAAATATAAGTTACTTAGAGCTGAGAATATTCTGCTTCTACTTTATGATTGCTGAAAAAAATACCATAAGGATTGTTAAAAAACTGAACATATTTTAAGACACGATAATGTACAAAAGTTCACTAAGAAGTACAACAGTACAAACAAGATCACAGAATCCATCTTGTATCTGCCAGATCAAGAAGCCCCAGAGAACTGATCCAAGCATTCCACAACCATCCTGCCCACACAGTATTCAGAAAATTCAAGGCAAAAAGACACGTGGCAAGCCCAGCACCTGCAGAATTACTGGCCACACATCACCAGGAAAGGCCTCTCATATAATACTAAGCAAATAAAGAGATCTAGCTTCAGGCACAGTAACCAGTACAGTGTGCTGTGGGTCACTTCCAAGACTCTAGAACTGCACTTCCCACCGTTCAAGAGACAAGGAGTTCTTCATTGGACAGAACTTCAGTTTCCCAAGAGCTCACAGAAAGGGCGTTTCAAAACTAACTCCACAGAAGCTGTGGATATCTGAGTTCAAGACCAGCCAGGGCTACACAGAGAAACCCTGTCTGAAGGAAACTACCTAACTGGTAGTTTCAGGAGAATAAATAATTGGTGTTGTGGTCACAACTATGTATTCTATACATTGCATTTAAACTTTAAGGTATGTAAATTAAAAAAAAAAGAAAAATGAAATAATCAAGAGCTTTCTTATCCACAATCACTGTGTTAAGTAATTACATTCAACGATCCAGAAGTTCTTCTAAATGGAGAAACTAGGGTGGGAGAAGTAGGAATCACTTACTATTCTGAGATACCATGCATTAACTTCCTGAAGGTTTTAACAAGAAGATACAATTTTAAATACCCACAGGGGTACCTTCTACTTGAAAACGATTATGTGTGTTCTCTCCCATCCTTACCTGGACCCACTATGTGATTTATGTGTTCTGTCAACAAACTTGGGATCTAACACACAAGGTCAAAAACACAAATGAGCCGGGCGATGGTGGCGCACGCCTTTAATCCCAGCACTCGGGAGGCAGAGGCAGGCGGATCTCTGTGAGTTCGAGACCAGCCTGGTCTACAAGAGCTAGTTCCAGGACAGGCTCCAAAACCACAGAGAAACCCTGTCTCGAAAAATCAAAAACCAAAAAAAACACCACAATTTAACTGAAGAAACTCAATTAATGTGTATGAAGAGCAGGACGAGGCTGTCTGAAAGTGGGAGGGTAACAAGGCCAATGGCACTAGCCCTGTCCCCACCAGTGTCCACAGACCACAATACAAAGCTGGTCATTGCATTCGGGATTTGAGTGATTTGAGTGATTCCTTGTCAAAACATACAGTGCGCATAGCTGAACACAGTCTGTATCTGTTAACCGCTGCAGTAGCAACTGAATCCCAGCAGCACACGGAAGTAGTGCCCTGTGGAGTGCAACGTGTCAGTCAGCTTGGGAGTTTGGGAGCGTCAGCAACTAAGGCACGACCGCTCCCCACCATAAGAGCCAGAAAATCGAAGTTTGGGGAAAGAGTGTCCTTTCTTTCCCACCCCCTTTATTTTTCTCTCTCTCTCTCCTTTTTGTTTTTTTAAGGTGCATAAAGGGAGGAGTCGGAAATAGACTTGATAATGAGGTGCACTCCGGGACAGATAAGGGCTCCTGGCACCCTAAAGTCCCTTGGGATGGGATGCTACTCTGCAAGCATGAGGTGTAAGTTTCATTTTCTGCAGCCTCACACCAGGCACTGAGCAAAAGTCATTGATTGCCCGCAGAAAAGGCAACCTGTACTCCAACTCCTCTGCCCCATTCCTGATCCCCTTCGGGGCTGGCAAGTGAGAACCACCAGCAAAGGCACAGCGTAGTTGTGACGGTCGGGGCGGAGAAGGGCAGCGGTCCCACCGCACCAGGGCGGCCGCCCCTCCCGCAGACTCGCCAAGGAGTTGTGAAGCGGGAGCCGCCGCCGCGGCGCAGCAGGCAGAGGTGCGGCACTTACCCCCGTTCACTCCGACCGACGGCTCCAGCTTAGCGGCGCCGATCGCCACCACTATGCCGACCATGAACCATTCTTTCCTCGCCCTCTCCAGCAGCCTCATATTTGTTAGGGTGGGTGGGTTTTGTTTATTTGTTTGGCTGGCTGGCTTTCCAAGCTGCGATTCCCGAATCCCCGGGGCGTCTCCACGCTTTCCTCGGTGCCTCCAGACATGCAGCAGAGCAAGTCAAATTGCCACTCGTAAACTAAAGACTGGAGGGGTGGCTCGGGCGGCTCCGAGGCGGGCTGGGAGTAGTAGTATCCAGTGACAGGAAAGCCTCACTGAGCGCCGCCATCACTACCACGCGCCTCCGAATAGACGCGCACTCAAGCGGAGGAATCCGGGATCCGGGGGACGTAAACGGGGGCGCACCCGGAGACCGAGGAGGAGGGAAGGGAGACCAGTCACCGGCTGCACTAGCAGGACCCGCTGCCATGCATCCGTAGTCAAGCTTGGGGAGGTCCACGGCGGGGAAGCGGAATGTGGCGCCCCAGACGCCCAGCCTCCTCGTGCTGTAGCTGCAGGAAACTGACGGCCTCCCGAGCCCCGGGGACGTGCAACGCGGAGAGCTTCTCTGGCTCCGCCCTGAGCGCGAGGACGCGCGCTGTGCGCCTGAGGGTACGGGGCTCCGCTGTAGCTGCGGCTGCGCGCGCGGGCGCCGAAGGTTCCGATGCGCTCGTTCTCGGCGCATTACGACGACGGCCGACGTCGCGTTGACGTTGCGCGGGGGGAGGGGAAGCCATTCGCGGCCTCTGGTTCTCGGCGGGAGCGGCGGCGGCAGACGCGTGTGGCGACCGGCGCGGGAAAGCGGCTTCCTAGTTGGGGAAGCGTTAGCCCCGGGGGTAGGTTGAAAATCGGTGGCCGAGCAGACGTCCGGGACGGCAGGCCCCCCGCCTTCCCGCAGCGGCGGCGGCGGCGGGAAGGCGGGGAAGGCGGGTCGGGCCTTCCCGCCAGGTCGGTGGCCTGCCCGGGCCTTTCAGCCCGACCGCCTTCCCGGCCAAAACCCGCCCCGGGAGTGGGGAGGACGACCGGGTTGGGGCAAATCTTCCCTGGGGGGGCGGTAAGAAAGCGGCCCAGGCTCCTCCCCACCCGTGTGCTGCGCGTGGGCGGGCGATTCCGAAGGCCGCGTGGTGCGGGCCTTTGCCTGACCCCGGAGCTGAACCACTAAAGCAACAGGACGACTGAGGGGGCCGGGAACGCAGAACAAAAGCAGTGAGGGTCGAGACCCAGGGTGGAGGTTCTGATGTCCGCCCCCTCCCCCCGGTCCGGTTTCTTGCTTTACATTCTGGCGACCTATGGCATAGTTTCACGAATGGTCTTCCGAGCATCTACCCTTCCTCTTTATGCACCCAAAGAAAGAAAGGAACAAAGTATTGTGGGACATTTTGAAGCAGCCTGGTATCAGCTACTTGAATAGTTTACTATGGAACGTAACGTTCGAAAGAAATTGTACCAGACTTTCATTCTGGATGCATTCAAAGCTTGAAAGAGACTCGGCTTCAATTTGCTCTATTTTACTTTATCTTGCTGACATGACTCGCTATCCAAAAACTAAACTGCTTTAAGCAGTTGTACTATCGGTTCCCAGTTGCACAGCCCCCACTGGGGTAATAATACATCAGGCAGCACGAAGAAAAGCTAATCTCAAGATAAAAGAACGTAATAGGGAGTCGTTAAACAATTTACCAGGCAAAAGAAAACATGAAATGTGATTTAAAAAAAAAAAAAAAGCTTATTAGAAGGCAGGCACAAGGTAAGTGGAGTTTTAGGAAGGAAAATTTACAGCGATTTTTTTTTTTACAGTCATTTTCTCGGTTCAGAAAAAAAAAATCTGCCTCAAATTAAAAGGCCATTACAGAGATAGTGCTGGCTTCAGTAAGCCTGCTTACAAATTCTTTCTAGAGACTTTGATCTGTTTAAAGCAAAGTCGTAATTCATAGAAGAATATTTTAACGGTAGTTCGTTGAGAATTGTATTGTTAAGGACTGTATTAGTTTGCTAGGGCTGCTATAACAAATATTCCCCATCTCCCCCAAAAAACTGCATGCACCCAGACAGACAATATAGACATTTGTTATTTTCCTGTTGCAGAGTCTAAGGTGGAGGTGTCTGAGGGCCATGTGTTCTGAGGGCCCTTTCCAGCTTGTGGCAGTTGGTATTCCCTGGCTTCCTTGCTTTAATGTTGTGATGCTCCAGTCCCTCCTGGTTTGGCATTACATTCCCCTGCATATGTCTATAGTGGCTGCATCATTCACTCTGCATCCATCACCAACACTACCTTTTTTTCTGTAAGTTTATTACAGTGACTCTTGTCCTTGGGTTAGAACCTGCCCAGTAATCCTAAATGATGGATCAGATTCCTTTAAATTATATGAGCATATATCCTTTCTCCAAATTAAGTTCACTGTTCAGTAATGTACCCTGTAAAAGGCATGTTTTCCTGAACCTCAGAGTTTGACTTCTTTTAGAAATAAGATGTTTGTAGATACCTAAGAAGAGGTTATACTAGATTCAGGTAGGTCCCAAATCTAATGACTATTGCCCTTTTAAGAAGGTATGCATGAGAGGCAGGTGGAGTGTAAGCACTATGTAAAGGTGAAAGCAGAAACTGGCTTGAGATTCCTAAGAATTGCTGACAACCACTAGAAGCTAGGAGAGGCATGGTACAGATTTTTGTTCAGGTTTCTCACCTTCATATTCAATGACTTCCTGAACTATAAGAAAATCGATATTTTTAATCCCTTCCCCTCATTTACAGTGCATTGTTACAGCAGCCTGAGGAAACTAATACAAAAATATTGACAGGTACTCATGTGCAGTAGTCCTAGTGGCTTTTCTGTTTTCTTCTGAGACCCAGCAGCTGTCACCGGTGAGCTACTTGGCCCTTCAGCAAGCTTCTAGGAGCTTGAGACCTTCATAGTCCCCTCCAACTCTCAGCTGGAAGGAAAGATGGTTGAAGCAGATCGCCCAGGAAAGCTCTTCATTGGTGGGCTCAATACAGAAACAAATGAGAAAGCCCTTGAAGCAGTATTTGGCAAGTATGGACGAATAGTGGAAATACTTTTGATGAAAGACCGTGAAACCAACAAATCAAGAGGATTTGCTTTCGTCACTTTCGAAAGCCCAGCAGATGCTAAAGATGCAGCTAGAGATATGAACGGAAAGTCCTTGGATGGAAAAGCCATCAAGGTGGAGCAAGCTACCAAACCATCATTTGAAAGTGGCAGGCGTGGACCACCTCCACCTCCAAGAAGCAGAGGCCCTCCCAGAGGTCTTCGAGGAGGAAGTGGAGGAACTAGGGGACCCCCTTCTCGTGGAGGATACATGGATGATGGTGGTTATTCCATGAACTTTAACATGAGTTCTTCAAGGGGACCACTTCCAGTAAAAAGAGGACCACCACCACGAAGCGGGGGACCCCCTCCTAAAAGATCAACGCCTTCAGGACCAGTTCGAAGCAGCAGTGGAATGGGCGGAAGAGCCCCAGTGTCACGTGGAAGAGATAGCTATGGAGGCCCTCCACGAAGGGAACCCCTGCCGTCTCGAAGAGATGTTTATTTGTCCCCAAGAGATGATGGATATTCTACAAAAGACAGCTATTCAAGCAGAGATTATCCAAGCTCCCGTGACACCAGAGATTATGCACCGCCACCAAGAGATTACACATACCGTGATTATAGTCATTCCAGTTCACGTGACGACTACCCATCAAGAGGCTATGGTGATAGAGATGGATATGGTCGGGATCGTGACTATTCAGATCATCCAAGTGGAGGTTCCTACAGAGATTCATATGAGAGTTACGGTAATTCGCGCAGTGCACCCCCTACACGAGGGCCGCCGCCATCTTATGGAGGAAGCAGTCGCTATGATGATTACAGCAGCTCACGTGATGGCTATGGTGGAAGTCGAGACAGTTACTCAAGCAGCAGAAGTGATCTCTACTCAAGTGGCCGTGATCGTGTTGGCAGACAAGAACGGGGGCTCCCCCCTTCCATGGAAAGGGGGTACCCTCCTCCACGTGATTCCTACAGCAGTTCAAGCCGTGGAGCACCAAGAGGAGGTGGCCGTGGAGGAAGCCGATCTGATAGAGGGGGAGGCAGAAGCAGATACTAGGAACAAACAAGACTTTGGATCAAGGTCTCCAAAAAAACAAAAGATGGAAAAGTCTTCTGTCGGAACCTCCCAAGGACTACTAAGAAAAGTTGTGTTACCTTTTTAAATTTTTCTGTTTTAAGTTCCCCTTTATCATTTTTGTGTTCTTGTGAGGATAAAAGTAAAACATGATTAATTTTGATATTATGAATTGCTTTCAACAGCAAATGTTAAATGTGTAAGACTTGACTTGTACTAGTGTTGTAATTTTCCAAGTAAAAGTGTCCCTAAAGGCAATTTCCTGTCTTGATTTTTTTTTTTCTACCCCATATCCCCCCCCCCATAAATGAGGTGAGCAGTTCTAAGATCTTTGAGAGACCATCTAGATAGCCTTTGGTCTCTGGAGAATTGAGTCTTGTCTGCCTATACAGACAAGCTAACAGGGTAGTAGAGGGTGCTGGTGGTTTACTACTCTTAGGTACTCGGGGTGTCTTCTGACTTAAGTCTGAAAAACAAGAAAGCTTAAAGCTGACTGGCTTGGTTTTTGGCATTTATTTGGGAATCATCAAGAGCCTCCCCCTTTCACACACACACCCTTTTTGACCCAGGGTTTATCTGTGTTTGGCCAACCTAGAACTCACTCTAGACCAGGCTGGCCTTGAACTCAAAGATCCAAGCTTCCACCTCCTGAATGCTGGGATTAGGTGAGCTACCACACTCCAATTCCAAGTATGTGTGTGTGAGTGCCTGTGAGTTCATGTGCATGAAGTGTGCATAGGTTCCGGTGGAGACTAAAAGAGGGAGAACGGGATTTGACTCTTAGCTCAGGCTGGCTTCTAACCTTATCTCCCCAGGGCTGGATTTTAGATGTGTACTGTCACTCCAGGCTACCATTCTTTTCTGAGGCTTTTCTGTTGCACTCATTATTCCATCTTTCAGGCAAAAACAGACACAAAAGTAGAAAGGCAAGATGGGTTGTAAATATTTACTTGGTAAATATTCTTTTGGTCCCTTTTAACAAAATACCTCTGATATGTAACCCAGCTGGTAGAATGTTTACCTAGCATACATGACACCTTTGGTTTAATTACCAGCAGCACATTGAATGTGAACTGAGTATGTTGTAACCCTGGTACTTGGGAGGTTGGAGTGGGAGGGTCAGAAGTTCAAGGCCTGCTTCAAAAACTTTGAGGTCATAAAATGTCTTGTGGTTCTGAAGACTGAAGTCCAAGAACATAGTACTAGCATCTGGTCATTGCCTCGTTCTATATCCTGACATGAAGGAGTCCTGTAAGTCAAAGGCTCTGGCCATCTGGGTCAGTGCTAATTGTGGTTCCCTCCCAGAAGCTCACTTAACTAGCAGGAATTTGGGGCTTTTCATGCAGTTTGAGAGAACAAATACAAGCTATCACAAGTATTT